CGGGTGAAAAGAGGGGCACGCACGGGAAATGGACGGGCAACGGGAGGGGGAAATTTGATGGGCGACAGGGTGAGTACTGACAACGGGCGCGCTACGGGCAACGGGCGACAAGCTACGAGGCACGCGTTATAACGGGGCGCGCACTAGCGTTTTTGGGCCCTCTATCAAGAGTGAAAATGTAGGGAAAACCCTCGCTAGGGAAACCTACCCTATACCATGTTCGGATATGAGAATGAATTACGAGAAGGGGAAAATACAACAAGTATATATGAAACCTAACCCTAACCTCAACAAATAGAAAGTATAACAAATATAGCTTGACAATACCATGTTACAATCTGAAATGGATTTTTAGGATCGACTCTGGTTCATCGCACGTAGTGTAGCAGCGGGAGGTTTGCTAGTGATGCCGGGTACGGACCCAGTCAGATGAATATTTGAATCTCGACACAAGTGACTAGTAGAATGCGGTACAAGGGTTTATATAGGAATACAATGGAATACGAAAGGTCCTCGCTAGCCATGTACTCTGAGGGGATACATTCTCCTTAGGGCTAACCTGGACCTGGGAAACCAACCGTGTGCATTGGCAATGGTACACACCATGACAACTGATTGAATCGTTTCCCGCGCTTGCACCTCAAATTCTTCCTGCTTTCAACCGTCTTCAATAGCGGTTTGTGTCGCTGAGTCTTCGTCCTCGCTGCAGCTATCTTTCCATTGAGAGTTCGTTACTGTAGGAATGTTATTCAACAATTCCATATGGCAACACAGACTACCTTACGAAATCGCCCTCACATCATTTTGGATGTTGTGTTGGCACTCCATTGGGCAGTTTTGCTGCTCCATTATCTAATGAAGAGATGGGTTAGACATTTGTTCTGGAAGACAACGAGAAGCTTTGCGAGGCGAATGCTGTTTGTCCGTGCAGAGTCGAGCTGATCGACCGAAGTTGCAGAGTTGCGCGAAACTCTGCGAAGGCGTGCGAACATTCGCCCAGGAGATTTTGGCGAAAGTTCTACCTGCGGAACGGCATCACGTGGTCGACGGTGCGCACCTGGCGAAACCGACGACACGTTTTCTACCTGGCACCTGCGCAATGTGCCTGACGGTGAAACCGCCAACCTGCACCTACTTGGTAGGTGCGCACATCTGCGCAGATAGACAACCTGCGACCGTAGAAAGTTACCTGCGATTGCAGATAGTCACCTGCGACTGCAGTGCTGGCAGACCGCGCGCAGTGCAACGCTGGCAGACTACTCTGCTGCAGCGTTGGCAAGCCGCTCTTCTGCTGCACTGGCAGAGTTCGCCCATGGTAGGAGTTCCATGCCATTCTAGTCTTTTGTTCTGCATGCCTCAATTGTACTCTATTCTTTTCCTATCAACTTTATTATTGCAAGTTGTTTCTTTCCTTAGTGGAATTCTTGCCAAACTTCTCAGTGAACATAGCAAGCAGTAAGAACGCTAGCAGAGCGCTACGATCACTCCCACAACACCGTGCCCTCCTTCGTAGTCCACTCCCATTGTGCAGTGACTCTTTGCAACACCTACGGGGAAGGAGACCCCAGGGTCTATTAGCTGAAAAAATCCCTCTACGGGATAAAGCAGGTGCCGTGGCTCTGGCAACGGAACCTGGACAAGATACTTCTGGAGATCGGCTTTAGGCAGCTGCCGTACGACCCAAGAATGTACCACCTTCACTTTAGCGGCGATCACATCCTCCTTACCGTCTACGTCGACGACCTACTGTACACTGGCACCTGCAACAAGCTTCTTAACCTGTTCGAGGAGAACCTGGCGAAGCAACCGTGCCGTCGAACTCCAGAACTCGCTACAGCGAAAATTACCATCAACCACAACGTCACTCAGTTTCTGGGCCTGAACATCACCTACGCGCCAGAAGCAATTCACCTGTCAGCCTCCAAATATGCAGAACAGCTGGAGAACGCTTCAACATCTCGCTCGCACCACTCTCAACTACTTACCGCAACCCCAGCGCCAACTGTAAACCGGACAACAAACCTCTGTCACTCGCCCGACTCCACCTGTACCAGCAGCAACTGGAATGTGTGCTATTCGACTTTGTCACATGCCGACCCGACCTTTCGTACATCGCCAGCCAACTAGCGCAGTACTCTCGCAAGCAAGTAGTTGAGAACCAGCTGGACCTGGAGCGCGCCCTGCAGTACTTCATCTCCACACCTGACATCGGGCTCTCCTACTCCACGCTGGCAACAACCTCCTTCAACCTCAACGGCTACGTGGACGCAGATCATGCCGCTGACCCCGCAAATTGACAGTCCCGAACCGGCTTCGTCTTCCGCCTGGAACCAACCGGACCGATCTCCTGAAACTCACAGAAGCAGGAACTGGTTGCCCTGTCATCGGCCGAACCTGAATACATCACCACGACAGCAGAAGTTCGCGAAGGGCTGTACCTGCAGGAGCTACTGCAAGAGGCGAAAATTCCAACTTCGCCCACCTTTCGCCTCCACTGCGACAACCAGAGCGCCATCAAGATCGCGAAGAAGCCGGGAAACTGGTTCCCGCGCAATAAGGGAATGTACCCCTTAGAGTACATGGCTAGTCTAGGTCGTTTTGCAGTCCTTGTATCTCCTATATAAACACGATCTATGTATGCATGCTATTATCATCTCAGTCATTTACATTCACTCTGACCGGAGTTCAACATTTTCAATGCAGTACGTTCTGCGATCAACCCTGAGCGATCCTTCGCTAAGTCCCACTTAAGATTGTAACATAAATGATTGTTGTTTTGCTTACAATCACTTTTAGCCACGTTGCTCCATCTATCAGAACAGTCACATGGCAGAAAGGCAAATCACACTCGACATGCGAAAATCGGCCGAGAGTAACGAATAACAGGTTCACTGTTAACCGCTAACAGGCGGAAAACGGTCTAGCCTGCAAACAATGCTGTATGCTATGAGACCACGCTCGTAGTAAGGAATGTGAAACATAAGTTACAGTTTCCCGTATACTAATTTGTACTCTTCTTTCTTTTTGGCCTTTTCCTAGGTGCTATATGCTTATACAATTTACAAGCAAAAAACACCTAGGAAACGCCCTCATAAGGAGTCGTGAGGTAAAAGTGGTCTTTACACTGGATTGTGCATTGAGTCGCATATTACTGATAGTGGTGACTGGAGTCCTTGACGAACTGCCCCCTCCCTTAGTTTCACCAATCTGAACATGAAAAAAGTGTATCCTCGCAATAACCACGAGTGCAGTTGTCCAAACAAGCTTCACGATATCACCGAATGACCAGAGAATAAAAGAAACATAACGACAATGCTCATGTTTGCCGAACCACGGTCCCATACTGCCCGTGGCGAGTTTGGCAGAGGAAGGCGAAAAATTGATTGGGTTTCAGTTCAGTTCATTCAAAAAGTTAGGGTGAGTGAAGGGACTGGGTGTAGAAACTTGACTAGCATTTCCCCCTTGGAGGCCCACTCTCTCATTTCACTTGCACTAGGTGTAGAACCTTGACCTTCGAAATCCTTCATTGCATTGCCTCATCGTCCGCACGGTAGACTCCTTAGCACGTATGTCGACTTGCCTACGACTGCAGGTCCCTTCAATGGCCTGCAGTAGGTACGGTATTGCCGTGCGGCCGGCAATATCCGCTGAGCTGACGCTTTTTCTTGCACCGCACAAGTTTTTCTCGGCCGGAGGTTTTCTCACTCGCCGCACGTGAGAGACGAGACGCTTTAATTTTCCCGCTGGTACAACCTTGGGAGACTCTAACGAGCATTGTACACCCACTGCCACTGCCACTGCCATTGCCACTCATTCATGGGTGGAATGCCTTGTTTCCCAGGCAAACGACAACATTCACTATTTGAAAACTGTCGTTTCCCGTTTTAAATATCGCGTGAAAGGCGAGAGATTTGAACCTCAGGTCTTCCTTTCACTACACGCCCTTGAATTCATTGTTCTTGAACGACTACATTCTCGGGCTAACAACAACGTCACGTTGCAACATTGTCGTTTCCCGTGAGAAGTCTCTTTCGGTTGTGGTTGACGGATGATGCTCGGTTAGGGTTCTTCAGCCGCTCATATGTAACACGTGGCACCTGCGCGGGAGCTAACACGAAGCGCGCAGGTGGCGAGGGCATGCAGCAGCAGCGTGCAGCTGCGAATGTGGGCAGCGCAGGTGAAGAAGTGTGCAGGACGTGGGGAACTCACATGAGAAGGGCGAAATTGAGGTTTCGTGCCTTGAATGACTTGGGTAGACTTCCGCGTGGGACAGGTGGCGAGGGTACAGTATCGGAAGGTTAGAAATGGGACACGTGTGTGCAAGCAGTGAGTTACAAATGTGTAAAAGGGTGATGCGACTCGATGTCGGGGCTGGCCACCCGAATCGACATTCCGAGCCGCATTTCTGAAATGTAAATAGTGTACATATAAAAATGCATTCGTAGGAGTTAGAGTAGTTGTTCCTTGTTTTCTTTTCTGTTTGTTCTCTTTGCTTCTAAGGAAATTCCTTGGGAAGGATTCTCAGCCAGAAACATTAGAACAAGCCTAGAAGCCGTCTAGCTTGTTCCACTTGGTATCCGAGCCTGCGTTTTTCTTTTGAGTTGCTGCCGGGTTAATTTTGCGCCATGGCCAAATCAGAGCGTGATGCCGCGGTTCAAGAGCTAGTGGCTAAGGAAGTGCAGGCTGCCCTGCAGAAAGCAGCTGCACAGCAGGGAATAGCCGTAGCTCCGGGTAGCGTAGTGGGATCCACTTCCCATGTGAGAGCGTCGCTGCCGGACACGTTTTTTCCAGGGAAAGGACAACCGGTGGTTCGACGATGGCTCTTTCTAGTGGAAGAATATCTACGCTTGAGCCATGTAGCTGGTGATGAGTGGGCGCCGTTCGCCGGAACCCTACTCAGAGGCTCTGCGGTGGCATGGTGGCAGTCAGTGCGACCCGCTATCCAAACCTGGCAGCAATTCAAGGAAGCTCTCGTTGCTTCTTATGAACCTATCAACGCAATGGCAAAGGCGCGCGATCGACTTGCAAATCTGCGGCAGCGTACTTCGGTAGCAGATTACATCGCTGATTTTCGTGACATCTCCACCGAGATCTCAGACCTTTCAACGGCTGAGGCGCTGGACAAGTTCAAGCGTGGCTTGAAGGACGACATTAGGATGGAAGTGGAGGTGCAGGGCTGCAGTACGCTGGAGGAGATGGCACGTGTCGCTGAGCGCTATGATGAGATCCACTTCGGCAGCCGTCGCAACCGTTTCAACCGTGGGATGCGGTTCAGTCCGAACATGTTCCAGCCTATCCAGGGGGAGCAGCGTGGTGGAGCAGGACCGACGCCGATGGAACTGGATACGATCGATAGGAACAAGGAGAAGCGGAAGGGCTTTGCTGGAAATTGCTTCAAGTGTGGGAAGCGCGGTCACAAAGCTCTCAACTGCCCTACCAAGCCCAGGCAGCCGGGAAACAAGCTTCACCAGTAGCTTCGGGGCGAGTTACTGGTGGTGAGGAGTGCCCCACCTTGCTGACTCCATCCTCTACGCCGCTGCAGCAGGAGTCGGAAGGAGCCATAGTACTTCGGGGGCAGATTCGTGGTAAGGAGGTAAAGATGTTGCTGGATAGTGGTGCTTCATCCAATTTCATCTCTTCGCGGTTGGTGCATGAGCTGAAGTTACCTGTGCAGAGCAGTACAGCGGAGAGTACAGTGCGCATGGCGGATGGTGTAGTGCGAAGCTGTGGACCTGAGTTGTACCCGGTCAGCTGCAACATAGCGGAGTTTCATGGGAAAATTCCTTTTCAACAAATCTGGCTTGTCGGTCATGACATAATCTTGGGCAGGAACTGGTTGGCAGCAGTAAACCCACAGGTGGATTGGAAAACCAGGGAGGTAAAGGTGCTGTTTGGGGGAAGGTTTGTTCGCCTACCAGTGGTACAGCAGCAGGAGGAGTTGACCTTGCAGCTGATTTCTGCGAAGCAGTTTGGTAAGGCCATTTGGGGGGAGGAAGCAGCTTTTCTAGGTCTTATCACAGAGGTTCAGCCCACATCATCTGAGGCAGCAGTACCAACGGTTTTAGCATCACATGAGGATGAGGAGCTGACACGGGGTGTGGAGAAGCTGCTAGAAAAATTTTCAGGGGTGTTTCCTGAGGACTTACCGGCTGGACTTCCTCCTAGGCGAGCTGCTGATCATAGGATAGAGCTGATTCCAGGATCTACCCCAACTGTTAGACCTACTTACAAGATGAGTGCAGTGGAGCTGAAGGAGCTGAAGGAGCAGTTAGAGGACCTGCTAGCTAAGGAGTTCATTCAGCCTAGTTCTTCTCCATACGCTTCCCCAGTGCTGTTCGTGCGGAAGAAGGACGGTTCTCTGCGGATGTGTGTAGATTACCGCGGGCTCAACAAGATAACAGTCAAGAACCGCTACCCACTGCCACGGATAGATGAGCTGTTCGAGCAAATTGGTGAGGCACGGTACTTCTCGAAGCTGGATCTGCGTTCGGGGTATCATCAGGTGCGGATTCAAAGTGAGGACATCCCAAAAACAGCTTTTCGAACACGGTACGGTCACTATGAGTTTCGGGTCTTGCCATTTGGTCTCACCAACGCTCCAGCCACCTTCCAAGGCATGATGCAGAGCATTTTTAGTGATTTCATTGACAAGTTTCTGGTGGTTTTCATTGATGACTTGCTGGTATACAGTCGCACTCGTGAGGAACACCTAAAGCACCTTGAGCTGGTCCTTGCACGGTTGAGTGAGCACAGATTGTATGCCAAGCGTTCAAAGTGTGAGTTTGCCAAAACCAAGCTGTCATTTCTGGGTCATGTCATTTCTCATGGGAAGATGGAGGTGGACAATACCAAGGTAGCAGTGCTGAAGCAGTGGAAGCAGCCTAGTACAGTGAAAGAGGTGCAGGCATTTTTGGGGTTAGCTAACTACTACCGGCGGTTTGTGAAGGGCTTTGCAGCAGTGGCAGGACCTCTGACCGATCTCTTGCGGAAGGATTCATCATTTTCTTGGGGACCTTTGCAGCAGCAAGCTTTTGAGCAGCTAAAGACTTGCCTTACTTCACCCCCTGCCCTAGCAGTACCGAATCCAGAGCTCCCGTACTTCATTTGGTGTGATGCATCTGACGTTGCCCTTGGAGCCATTCTCTGTCAGGAGCAGGAAGCGGGGCTGCAGCCAATAGCATTTGAGTCAAGGAAGCTGACTGCTGCGGAGCGCGCATACCCCATTCATGAGAGAGAGGCGCTAGCTGTGGTACATGCACTGAAGAAGTGGCGCTGTTACGTAGAGATGCAGCCTGTCACGGTCTTCACCGATCACAGAACACTGGAGTACCTGAAAACACAGTCACGGATCACTCCACGGCAGGCGCGGTGGGTTCAGTTTCTGGAGCAGTACAGTCCCAAACCTGCAGATTGTGTACAAGCCAGGGCGGTTCAACCCGGCAGATGTTCTCTCACGGCCAGCAGCAGAGGAGCTGAATGTCATGGGTGTGGTTACATGGGACCGCAACTTCATCACTCGTTTCAGCCGGGGTTATAACCGTGATCAGCTGTACCAACAGAAAGTCCCTCATGACCCATCCTTTCTTTTCAGCAACCCTTTTTGGACCCGTGCAGATTCTGGTGCTGTTTGTGTACCTGATGACTCCAGGCTCCGCCAGCTGCTACTACACGAATACCATGACAACCGTTCACACTTCGGCAGTGACAAGACGTATGCTGCCATTTCTCGTGACTACTACTGGCCTGGACTGTCCCGGAGTGTAGCGGAGTATGTTTCTTCATGTCCTACCTGTCAGGTCAACAAGGCTCGCACCACTGCACCGACTGGTCTGCTGCAACCATTGGAGATACCCACAGCCCCCTGGACTTGTGTTTCTCTGGATTTTATCACAGACCTACCCCGTACCTCAACAGGCTTTGACAGCATTCTGGTGGTGATTGACAAGCTGTCCAAGAAGGCTCATTTCATCCCCACAACTGGCACAGTGACTGCTGCTGAGACTGCCAAGCTGTTTTTCACACAGGTAGTAAGACTGCACGGACTGCCATCAGCTATAGTCAGTGACAGAGACACACGGTTCCTCAGCAACTTCTGGACCGCACTGTTTCAGCTGCTCGGCACACAGATACGCCTATCAACAGCCTATCATCCTGAAACTGATGGCCAGACAGAGCGCATGAACAGAACTCTGGAGGATGCGCTACGCTCTTCTGTGAATGCCATGCAGACGGATTGGGATCAGCATTTGGCAGCAGTGGAGTTTGCCTACAACAGCAGCCCGAACATTGCCACAGGAGAGCCACCGTTCCTCCTAGCCACTGGACAGCTACCACGCTCTGTTTCATCCCTCCCTCACCCTCATCATTCCCCTAACCCCACGGCAGCAGATTTCATCTCTTCTCATCACCGCATTCTCCAACTTGCCCGAAGGAAGCTTCAGCTTGCACAAGAGCGCCAAGTTCGCTATGCTAACCAGCATAGGCGTCACACCACTTTCAAAGTCGGTGATTTGGTGCTGCTTTCAACGGCTAACCTGCCCCTGCTGAATGCTGGAACCTCTCGCAAGCTCGCACCTAGATTCGTTGGACCATTCCCCATCATCAAGGTTCTCTCACCGGTCAGCTACCGCCTTCAACTCCCACCCCACATGACCATACATCCTGTTTTCCACATTCATCTTCTCCGTCCCTACCGAACTCCCTCTCATCCATTCCAGCCCCGTCCACCCATGTTCTTTGCCCATCCCGATCTGCATGAGGTTGAATCTATCCTCTCATACCGTGACACCCCTGTTGGCCGTGACTACCTTATTCACTGGCGCAACACACCTGCATCTGAGGACTCATGGGAGCCTTTCTCCAATCTCAGCCATGCTCCTCGTGCCATTGGAGTGTATCTTGCTTCGTTGGCACCGAGGACGGTTCCTTCAGGGAGGGGAGGTAATGTAACACGTGGCACCTGCGCGGGAGCTAACACGAAGCGCGCAGGTGGCGAGGGCATGCAACAGCAGTGTGCAGCTGCGAATGTGGGCAGCGCAGGTGCGGAAGTGTGCAGGACGTGGGGAACTCACACGAGAAGGGCGAAATTGAGGTTTCGTGCCTTGAATGACTTGGGTAGACTTCCGCGTGGGACAGGTGGCGAGGGTACAGTATCGGAAGGTTAGAAATGGGACACGTGTGTGCAAGCAGTGAGTTACAATGTGTAAAAGGGTGATGCGACTCGATGTCGGGGCTGGCCACCCGAATCGACATTCCGAGCCGCATTTCTGAAATGTAAATAGTGTACATATAAAAATGCATTCGTAGGAGTTAGAGTAGTTGTTCCTTGTTTTCTTTTCTGTTTGTTCTCTTTGCTTCTAAGGAAATTCCTTGGGAAGGATTCTCAGCCAGAAACATTAGAACAAGCCTAGAAGCCGTCTAGCTTGTTCCATCATAGGTCCTAGTAGGCCTTTCAGCCAGTCGTTTTGATGCAAAATCGGATTGGGTGGCTCGTGCAATCAAGACCGTGATAGGGTAATCCACGCAGCCAATGACAGCATCGCATGTACCTGGTCATCCGCGTATACACAGCTGTCACGTTAGTAAGGTGACAGAAGTGGGGGGCGTCGCTAGAGCATGTCGTGTACTGCCCGGCGTGGCAAAGCAGGCGGTGCGGAAAGTCGCGCCACCCTTCCGCGCATTCCTCTCGTCTCTAGTCAGGTTGATCTTGACTCTGCGGGCAAACTCGCGTACGTACGACAACACATGTAGGTCTCATGAGCAATTTTGCGGCGCATGGATTCGGCTCCGCAGGATAGAGGCCTTGTCGCTCCCTCCGTGCGGCCCACATGCGACACAGCCCCAATCCTCCGATCCGCGTGCGCAGCTCCCATATCCTCCCATCCGCGGGGTCGCAGCTCCCTTTTCCCCCCCTCCCCACCTCCATTCCCCCCACTCCCATCCGCGGGGGCCCTCCCCTTCTCTCGACTCAACTCTTCACGACCTTCTGCGATTGAAGCACCGCATCATTCGCCTCACCATGATACACCGGCGCGATATCCCGCCATCAAGGGGGCAGTCCCTCCCCCTCAGGGAAAAAAGGCTTCTCCCTTCCCGTCGCCCTCTCGGAAGGGGAAGGGGAAGGGGAAGGGGAAGGGGAAGAAGACGGTCAGTATCATCCATCCTTCATACGGTACATAAGCCGTTCGGCTTTTCCTTTCCACGCATCGCCGCTCCTTCCACTCCTCTCGTGACTCGCCACGGCTGAGCCCTCGGAGGCTCATCGTCTCTCATCGGCGCATCACCTCTGGCAGCTCTGCTGCTGCTGGTGCTTCCGGCTCATCAGCATCATGGCTTCGCACAGCGTGCCTGTGACGCGGAGCTTGGGCCTCGTGCTCGCTGCACTGGCTGCTGTCATGCTCTCAGGTGTGCCCTCGTGCTCTTGAGTCTGCTATCAGGTTCTCCCTCCTCCTGTTCCCCCCTCCCCCCCTCTTCC